GGAGGCCCAGACTCTTCTTTTTAATACTTGCTTTCGATTGCGGACGTTTTTTATGCTCGTTTTATATATATATTATACTATATATATATATATATTAATGTTTTTGTTTTTATTAATTCTTATTCGTCATATTTTTCTGTGGCTTGTTATTGTATGTACAGCACTTTGAGAAGCTGAAAATAAATTAAAATAAATTAATATAAATCAAAATAAATTAATAATAATCATAAAAATAAATTTAATAAAAATGTAAATAAAAATAAAAATAAATAAAAATTTTAAATAATAATTTCTCTCTGGGATTATTAAAGTATTTCTGATTCTAATTAAAGGCGCTTTGTAAAATAGAGTTTAGTATTATTATTATTATTATTGAGGTCATGGACGGTGTAAAGCTGGATCTGTTCCCCTTAGGCAGCGTGACACTCCAGATTTAAGGCTCTTGTTCTGCAGTGGAAAGTATTTATCGTCCACATTGTTGACACAAAGCCAGTCTGAGGGCAGATAGCAGCCAGAAGTCTGCTGGACGCACCTTATAGGTCAAACAGAAATAGAACGGGACAATAACAACGCTGTTTACCCAGTGGAAGATCATTTAAGCAGCTCCAGTTTTAATACTGAAATATGCGTTAGAGAGAAAACTTTGGGCCTTTTTTTATGATCGTTCTTACATATGTATATGCAGACAGATACATGGATGGCTCAGCAGATCCAGAGCAAACCATTTTTACCACTGAGAACGAGTGTGGTGCATTGTGGGTAAAATTATCTAAGGTCCTTATATTTACGAAAGCTCTCAAAGGAAAAGGATCAAACAGAAATTAATTCAATTACTGTCTTCGATTTGTGGGTGTTTCTGTAGGCTTTTATTAAAACATGGAAACTATACTAAGAGTTTGCAAAAATAATTTAGATAGATGTGTTTTTCATTCAATGACACAAAAAGTTGCCTAAGGAATATTAAATGCATTAAATAAAAACAAAACAAAAATAATTCCAAAACAAGAAAAAAACTAAAGCAAGGCCAGACTTAATATGTTGTTTATTGAGTATCATTTTTATTTAAACCGTTTGAAGTGTTTTTAAGCTGCTTTGTGTGGCAATTAAACCACATGGCTTTGTTTAACTAAATCTGTGCTTTAGTTAGATAGATAGATAGATAGATAGATAGATAGATAGATAGATAGATAG